ACCTGGCTTTTGATAATACTGGTAGTATATCGTCCAGCCTCAGTAGGCCGTAGGCTTCTGTTCGAATGGCGGCGTTAACTGGATTTGGATATATTCATACTCGTAAACCACCGGTCTTCTTATTGAGAATAGCTACTTCACTGACCCAATCTGTCGGTTCGTCCACTTTTGTTATTACCCAAAGTGCAGTTAGGCGCTGCCGCTCAAGAGAAAACTTTACGCGCAACGCTATAGACACCGTCCTAGCCAGTAGAACTACTGGCAGGTGCTGACCCATCGAATCTCCCACTGCTGCATCAAAACGCTAGTATAGCGGTCCAATATATCTGTGACTAATTGACACAAATTCAGAGAGCTTTCATAGTTGCAAGAAACAAAACCGAGCTGCTGATTGGATTCAAGAATCAGGACGGTACGAAATCTCCACGTACCACGACAAACTCAATGTGATGGTCAGTTCCGTCCGCCGGATGAGTGACTTTTAATACCACACTACCTTTGGACTGATATTTTGAACCATTCCACATCTTAAGGCATTACTTTTCCTTGTCGCAGCGCATTCCAGGGCCACATTTCTCCTTCAGGATGTTGACCATGGCTCCTGTGTCCAACTGAAAACGCACAGGATTCTCTTCGGCAACCAGCGTCGCCTAAGCACTTCTTCTATCGCTCAGACGTTTCATGCTGTTAATGGAGAGCTCTGGAGCAACGGGCGAATCCTCAGAATCGACTGAATTTACTTTCCTTAAGCGACAACATTGCGCAAAATGGTTTTTCTTCCAACGTTTCACACATGTCTTTCCAGAAGGTGGGCAGCTCTCTTTTCAAGGGTGGTGACAACGGGCCACAATACTGACATTTTTCTTCTTGTCCGGGCGGGGGTTGAGACACAGAAATGTTGGGCCGGGAAACGGCGGATAGTTTAGCAAACTTGCCAAACTTCATCTGGCGAAATCGGGAAGCATTTGCCATGTTACTTTTGCAAATGTCAATGCAGCGCTCTTGTGACAGTTCTCTTTTGTTGTAGCAATCTCCGTGTAACCTTCTCGTCTTGGACACCAAGTACAATTCGATTTCTTATCAGGGAAGGGTGTACGCATTCGCAACAATTGCACGTTCATGTTGATATTTTCAGCTCGGTGACGTAGTTAGTGATTGATTCATCAGGTAGGCGCTCCCGACCAAAAGATAAATAGCACTGGTACGTTTCATTCCGCTTTCCTTCGCAAAATTCACCGAACCTTTGCATTACGGTCTGTAAATCTTGATTTTCGCCGTCGAAATGCATTGTCCCTAATACCCGCCTTGCGTCATCGCCAAGCGCGTGTCGGAACACTGCCAGCTGATAACCTACCGGTTGGTTGTGCAGCTGCGTCAGTATGACGAAATCCAACTACTTTGCCTTCCACAATCGCCAATTTTCTGGCAAAGAGCCGTCGGTCATCTGTAAATGACTCGGCATGGAAATTAATGGCTGCCCTCCAAGACACTGCTGCGCTTTGCTTTCTGGGTTCTTCCTCCTCGTCACCACGTTAAATTACGTTCTCGAAATACACAAATCAGACTGCGCAACCATCAAGTCTCAATTCGCACCAGAAAAATGAAAATTTTTTTATTTGTTGCGGAACATTGGCTTGGGGTTGTGGTATGAGCCTCCGCATCCCACACTCCTGGCTGAGCCGGCCACGCTGTCTGAATGGTCCCGGCTGCGACGTTCACGTTGTCCACTCCGCCCACGCTTCGGTTTTTGGACAGCTCAGTTGGTCGGACGTCCTGATGTTTGGTTTTGCGTCAAGTTTCGGTTCGGCCAAAGTTCTCACGGCGCCAGTAAAACGGGTGCCAGATTTCGCCTCTTGCTACACCTCTCAAGGGAATGGAGTAGGAAAAGCACTTCAGTTGATTCTCGGAGCTTTCAGCCGTTACCTGTTGTTGCACAGAAAAGCCTATGGATTTGATAGCTGGACTGGCATGCAGTGGCAAGATGGGAATTTGAAAAGGCAAGACAGAGTGAACAGTGGAGGCGGAAAGAGATGTCTGTGGTCCATTCATTAATCCGTTCGTAGTAGATTTGCCCTGGCCAACACGTCGATTTTCATTAAGGAGACACTACTTGATGGCGAATCGGTATAACCCTAAGACGCATAGGGGTGGCTAGCAGAGCGCTCGTTATCCCTAATCGAAAAATTCCATCCGATGTTCTACCTTACAGGGTAGTTAAGAATTTTATATCAAGTCAAGCAGTTACGCCGCGCTTTTATCCTGAAAAACGCTCTAGCCCATATATCAGTAAACACAAGTTGTTTTGAAGAATTTCATCTTAGTCACACTCTGTCAACCAGTTGCCATACATTTGGAAAAGCACTATACGATCATTTATTCCCACTGGGACTAGTCACCAGCGTATATCCGACGAATCCTGCTGGATCCGAACCCACGATCTTACATTTACGAACCATAGACTTAAGCCACAGACTTGTGTGATGTGAGAGACTATCGTGATTGAAAATTGGATGCAATATAACGCGACACATTTTGCATTATTATGCGGGAAAACAAAAGCGGTCTAGGCTTACTCCCAAACCTTATGGTTTCTTTTGCATGGCACTAACAATCGGCGTAGACTATGGTGTGCCGTTGCGTGCGTGCGTGCGTGCCACTGCACTGTGCATGTCTCAGACAGATGCTCAATAGTCGACATAATTGAACATCACGTCAATGTTAGTCGTGGTTCAGATTGAGATTACCTGTCACGCTCAGTTAATACAACGAGACCTTTAGACGATCCCACAAGGAGTATTATTGACTGCTGTGAAAAGCAGCAAGGGCATGCGGCGGTACTCTCTGCCACCCGGATTCAAATCGCAGTTATGCTGTCACAGTTGTCGAACCGTTGGTGAGTGGATAATATCCAACGTACAAACACAAACGTACTTTCGAGTAACGGGATCTGTACACAAAAAAGGGGCACCAAGGTCAAGTAGCCAACAAGAAGACAAGTGCTCCACCCACCTTGGCAAACATAATTTCGCAAAATATGGACGTGACGATGCGTAATCCTGATAAAATTTGCGAATACCTTTCTTTTTGAGACAAAATGTCTGCGACCATGGTGTTAACTTGACAGCGTCCTGTGCACACTTTGAATTAAAAACAAGCCCTCTCGTGGGAGATGTAATTGTCTTGGATTCGTTGGTATTCTCTATATCAGTTATCGCAGATGTGTTATATCATCCTCTGCGTTCACTCCTATTTGCATGGGGTTCAGTGTGAACAACTTGGGCAGGAGATGGATAAATCTGGCCTCCACAATATAATGTGAGGTAACCGAATGCGTAAACATAAACAATCAACCCCGCTTAGTCAATTTTGCTATCATCCTTTGAAATGGCTGAAAATATTGGTAGCTCAGGATGTGGATGTGCATATTGCACTGCTCTACGAGATGAACGATTAGTTTGTAGACTTTTCGCTGCCAGATTAGACAACATCGTCAGTGCGGCCGTAAAGTCTTGTTTCGCAGAACCTCGTAAGCGACTTCGAGATCTATGTGCCTATTGATCAAGTTCTGCTTTGAATACCAGACCTCGGTAAACTCACGTGCTTGTCGGCTTGTGGCTCTTCCGAGTATTTCGGCGAGCTCTAGGTCGAACTGGTAGGTTTTGGCCTCTATATGCACGGATATCAATCTGCAACCATGAGCAGCATTCTTTGTTATTCTTTCATGATGTTCTTTGATGATCTTAGACGTCTCTAGCAAAGCGCCTCGCAGTACGCGACGTTTCAAGGAAAATAATTCTACGCTACCTAGACGTTAGTCTCACTACGTCCCTCGTTGACGTTCAATCATTCTGATCAAAAGTTTCTGAATCGTTCCTATACACATGGGGTCAATACGGAGATACGCTGCCCAGGCCTTAACTCCAGATGTGGCCTAACCGCTACTTTATATAACGGCAAGAATACTTCAGATTTAGTGTTACTCAGCGTCCTCCTTAGACGAAATACAGAATGTCTCGCTTTATTGGCAGCATGACAACACTGTGCCGAAGGCTTAATACTGTTAACTATGATCACACCTAAATCACGGGTTTCATCAGTACACTGCAATAATAGAGATCCCGCAGGAGACTGTATTGCAGTTATGCTACCACTGCTAGTTAATAGACAACAATTATTGGCATTCGGAGGTAAATCGCATTGGCTCGACCAATTCAACCCGATGATACTATCCTTAGTTAATGTTGGTCGATTACCCTTACTGATTAGCTCCAAGTCATCTGCGAATACATAGAAGAGCTCCTCAAGAAGAGGAGCCAGGTGGTTTATAAACTAAAGAAACAATAATAAAATAATTGTGTTAAAATAAATCGATAAAAATGGTGGATGTGAGAGTCTGTGTGTATAAATCCGATGGACAGGAATCACAAAGGACGGCCGAATATGAAGGCCTCGCTTGCCAAAGAGTGACATTTAAAATGGCAATTAAAATAATAATTAAACGGAGCAAGATCACCGCATAATAGCTCAGAAATATCACGTATTTTGTCTCATTTACGAACTTTGTCCTCTGTCTAGATGGTTGCTTAATGTTCTTTTAAGAACCGTAACTGATGGTGCGTAATACCCTTATCAACTGCCGGAAAGCGTAGAAGGGTTAGACTAGTTCGGTCAAGCATGTACTGTACCGAGACCTACAATGGATCAAGGTTGCGTAATCGAAAGACAGAGATGACATAGCAGAAACATAACCGGGAGAGAATCAGCGGCTGGGAATTACAATCCTTTGGATAAGCGGACCCAAGAGCCAGGAGACAGATAAATAGGCATTGGTACGAAATTTTGGGGAGTAGTTGTTTTAAACTTCACTACTAAATATATGAACTCGTAGAGAATCTTTTCGATTGATTGGTGGTAATTCATTTACCTATTGGTCGTTGTCTTATCTTAGATCCCGTCTTAAAAGTTCGTTACGCTAATAAATACTCTTTCCCTTGTTGCAGCTGGATCTGGTGGGGATTACACTGACTACGTGGCAACGCGATGGTACAGGGCACCGGAGCTGCTTGTGGGCGACACTCAATACGGAACACCTGTGGACGTATGGGCAATCGGATGTGTGTTCGCTGAACTGATCTCTAGTAAACCACTTTGGCCTGGCTCATCTGATCTAGATCAACTGTATTTGATTACCAGAAATATGGGTGAGTTGCATAAGATTTCACCATAGCACTCTACTAATAATGTCTTGTAAGAATGGGTGCTTGATCAGCTTCATAACGAAAACGGACAATCTACCACACCCACCAATATTTCTTCCAAAGATTTACACTAATCAACTATATTTGGTAGAAATCATACAGGCCGAAACTTGGTGGTACTTGTGACAACCTGACTGCTACCTAGTTGGACAGCCGATTTAGTAGGTGATTTCGAATTCGAGTACCATATATTACCGTGCATAAGTCGAGGAATTTTGGACAATTTTCCATGTCCGTAGTGGGTGAGGGAGGCTTACACAAAGGTTATGCGCAATTTAAAAAATATTGCATGCAACATCCATCCAGAGATTCCCTGCACACCTATGCCCCTATCTTACTTTAGGACCACTCGCTAGTGACAGACGGTATCCCAGGCGGGGATTTGAAGTGTCTATAGGTAGACACATTCTGTCTAGGCCGAAAATTCTCGGTATATTGCACATCTGAAGTTCGCGAGGCATAGCAATAGCGAATACAAAGCTCTTGAACATTATATATTGTCAGGCGATCAGGTCCCCTAAAAGTACAACGTCGTCTCACACCCCTGACCTTGAGCTTTGCTCTCACCCACTGCTCTACGGGGCTTACCATGAATGAGGCCCCCGACTATGCGGAGGGACCCGTCTGACACCCTCTCAGCTTATCACATATTATCGGCTATCGTACCTGTTTCGTGTGATGACATCTACTCAATACACTGTCCAGTGCGTTTAAAGTCTGTTCTGACGGCTCTAAGTCCCAGCAGCTGCGATCATAACACAATAGATCGCCAGAACTGACCAACAGTAGAGCAAATTTAGCTTGAACACCCACAACTGAGAGCACGTAGTGAGGAAATAAAAGTTGTGAGAAAAAATTCCGTTTCTCTTTTGCTAATTTTTTGGGGGTCGGCTAATATCCGCACTTACAGTTTTGGGAAAAGTTGACGTTGCAAAGTCATACTGTCGGCTTGTATACGGATCAGCTTATAGACGGTAATATGCAGTAGTTCAGCTGCTCCAGTACCTACTACCGAGTAGACCACTAAATCCTTTATACATTAACAATGAACGATGAACAGCGATTTTTCACGTGATAAAAGCAAGTGCTTGGCACCTCCCGTAGGATGGTTGGGGTGAACACGATGAAATCAAGCTAGATCTGACTCAACTACTGAGCGTCTGCCAATACGAATAGTTTGATAAATAACATCAGTGTAAAATCTAAAAAATCGAGCGTATGCATTCAGAAATAAACTGGGTTGCAGTGGTCGTTGATATAAGACGTGAGAAAAGTAAAACATGGTCGCTCACTTGGGTCCAGTTGATACATGAATCCTGTTGAAAAGCATGATTGATGTACTCTACAAGAGAGGAGTTTAGGTAACAGTGCTGGGAGCTAAGAGCAACATCTAATCGTTTTTTGAAAACGTCCAAGGTAGGAGAGGATACAACTGACTCTGGGAGTGCGTTCCAGGGTTGGTAAACCAGAAGGGAAAAGTTATTCCGTCGACACTCTAGACAGCCATTTGTTCTTTTAATTTTATGCAGTTACCCTTGAGCTGTGTGATGTGGTTAAGTTTCAACAGGTGGCGGCATACGTGATTTGGGGCACACAATATCTGATACGCTAATTTGAGATCGCCGCACAGCCTTCGATAGCGTCCGCTAAAAATTCCCAACAAGTTCAACCTTCGGTGGTAAGAGTGATAGCGCAAGCCCATTATATTCTTTGTTGCTCTTCTTTGTGGTGACTCTAACGCAACTAGGTTGCGCTCCAACCAAGGTTTCCAAGCTTGAATAACGCATTCAACATGCGGGCGCACGTAGGAATTGTGCATCATTGGGAAGATTGATGGGGCAAATCTCCCCTGAAGTTACCTACACATGGCGGGCCGTACGATCTAATGCAGCTAGAACAGGTTGATCCGCTCCTAATGACTTTACTGCAATTGCTTGCGCAATATAGGCGACCTTGAACCATCAGAAGGCTAGTCGACCTCTTTTCATTTTCAGCAGTGCCAATCTAAGTGCTCAACATGATGCGTGTTCTTTGCGCCAGGCATGACGCACAAACAAGGCAAAACACGCACACGAACTGAGAGTTGTTCAACCGCAACAAGGTCAGGTGGTAGAGGCAGATGGAGGTCGTAACTTGCAGCCTGTAGGGTTCAGCGGTCAAGCCAGTCGCAGTTGAACACATATACCCACGCAAAGCGGCAGCGTGTGTTAATCGGCCTGCCTTAAGCGACGATGCAGGTGGAGCGCTGATAAGCGTCCCTAGAACTATTCAGCTAACGAGCGAAGCAAAATGACTGTACCTTTGTTAGGCTGCAATTTGCAGGGATGTTTGCCGCGTAGTTTGAGAGCCCACAGCTTCTTCTTCCGAATGAGACCAAAATCTTTCCCGGAAAACTCCGCTTTGATGTAGTTACACAAGTAGAACTCTGGAAAGTATATGCCGAAAGCTAGGAACTGGAGCAAGTATACGCTACACAAGTTAGATCTAAGAGTTGGGGAGCACTAAGTAGAGCTCGTCGAACTGCTTCGAACGAGCGCACACACAATATTTTGTGCGGAGAAATACCGTGGCCACAGATGGCAAAGCGAGAGCCGAGTTAAAGTGTGGCCGCACAGCACGTGCGCTGAGACTAATGTATCAATACAGTGCACTAATTTAACGCCTTTCGATGTTGTGACATCAGATAGTTTTAGCAGGCATCTAACCCGGGACCAGTGGGATGTTAGCATGACGGCCACCCCAAAGCCACCAGGTCACATGATTTGGAAACGAAAACTAGGAAATTAAACTGTCCTGGTGGCAGTCAAAATGTTTGCTTAGATGGACACTTTGTTGAAAAGGTTTATAATAAACGAATAGCATTTTTATTCTCGTCAAAGCGAGGCACGTCTGCACAGGCATGATCATGTTAAGAGTACAAAATGGGATCAGTTAACGTAAAATTGAACAATACAATTGTCACCAGTCTATCTATGAATGTATGTGTGTATGCGGCGGGAGAGACTATGGTGCACTGAGGCTGGTTTTGGCTAGATCCTGACAGATGATCTACCTACTGCTGCTACTGTTGTTCCTTGGGCTTATGGTCTGGACGCCTCCTCTTGGCGACCACTGGGTGCGAGTTGGTTTACGCCAGTCTCCTTGCTTAGATCCAGGAGCCTGCCTGAAGTATTGAAACACGGCGGACCCGCGTTGTTGACTGCGCTGCACCACTTGGAGCAACGTGTGTGGATTGAGGAGGAGGTGCCTTCTGAGCTGAAGGATCCTCTTGTGCTACCACTGTACAAGGGCAAAGGTAGCAAGCAATGTTGGACGGATTATCGTGGCATTAACTTGCTGAGTTGTGTGAGCTAGGTGATTGCTCGAATCTTGCACATCCGCCTCGTCATTTGGCTTGTGTAATCGAACGTGGCGGAAGAGCGGTGTGGATTCCGTTCGGGTCGCAACACTATAGATGTTATGTTTGCGGTTCGTCAGTTGCAGGCGAAGTGCAGCGAACGATACCAGCTGTTGTACTCGCTTTTTGTTGATTTTACCAAAGCATTTGATACGGTGAACCGCGAGGCATTGTGGCTGGTGTTGGGTAAGTTTGCTCGTCCGAATAAGTTTGATTGTATGTCTGCACAGTGGTATGCGGACGAGAGTGCAGCTGAGTGGGAAACCACGGGATGAGTTTGCAGTTGTCTCTAGTGGGGAGTAAGCTGTGTGTTAGCTCCTACACTTTTTACTATTTATCTTCAGGAAATAATGTCATGTGCTTTTGTTGCGGCTTTTGTTTACGGGGTTCGTGTGCAGCGCCATATTGATAGAGGTTATCTGAACCACCATCTTTTTGGTGCGAGTATCATAGTCTTTGAGGTAACTATCCGTATGTTGCCGTTTGCGGAAGACTGTGCGTTGTTTCCACACGGCGTGGATGAGTTGCAGCATATGACTAGTGCCCTGGCTTCGACAGCGGCGAAATTCGCGCACACCATCAACACAAGCAAAACCATCTGTCTCTTTCAGCCTTCTCCGGAGGTACAAGCTACAATATTGCCGCAAATCAGCACTGGTGCTGAAGTATTGGAAACCACCTCCCGCTTCTGCTACCTTGGGAGTGTGATGTCGATTGATCAGCAGATACACAGTGAGCTGCGTATCCGCGTGTCGAAGGCAGTGGCGACATTCGGGAAGCTTGAGTACCGAGAGTGGAACAACCATCAGCTTACCGTTGGCACGAAACTGATGGTGTACAAATTCATGGTGCTTCTACACGGCACTGAAACGTGGACGGTGTACCGGCGAGATGTGAGGTACCTAGAACGGTTCCAACAACAGTGTTTGCGACGGATTTTGAGCATCGGTTGGTGCGACGGAGTTGCGGACACGGAGGTGTTGCGCCGAAGTGGAATGTATGCAGTTGACTGCATACTTTTACTGGGACACCTGAGGTGGCTCTGTCATGTGAGCCGTATGGATTCGACGCGGATACCGAAACAGCTATTATATGGTCAGCTGAGTACAGGGAAGCGGCACGTGGGGAAACCGAATTTACGTTATTAGGATATGCTTAAAAAGAGCCTGCACGTTCTAATCTTGATTGCAGGTCATGGGAATCAAAGCGGCTGATCGGCGTGCATGTCGCGATCTGATAGCGTAGGCGGTTGCCAAGATGCAAGAAAAAGCCTTCGTGTATGCAGAGAAGAAACGGCAATTGCAAAAGCGACAAGCACCGGTAGCTTGTACTCCATCGACATCTAGCGCATGGTGCTGTAGCATATGCGGTCGCGAGTGCCTGAATCAGACGGGCCTAGTGAGCCAGTGGCGAGACCACTCGGGGCCACTACTGAACCGACGACGGGTCCTGCAAAGAACGTAGGCAGAACCGACGCAGCGTTTGTAGGTACGCTGCATTCGATTTAATAACCGCGTGTTTGCATGTTGAGTCTCTTTAGTTCAGT